TTATACAATTTTGCATAATTTAAACTTTAAATAATAATAAAACAGTTTATTGGCCATATACCATTAATATTTTTAAATTAGTGTTAAATGAGAGAAACATTTGAATACATTTTCAAGCCTTATGTATTAAAATTGAAAGTTTTCAAATTATACAAATACCTACATTTTGGTAGTAAAAAAATACTTAGTCTTAATTAATATATAATACATATATTATTTAAAAAAATCTTTTAATAGAAAATGCTAAAAACCATCTTGCAGATACTTGCTTGACCATTTCAGTTCGTAGGATTAGTGTACTCTGTAAATGCATATCATTTATAGATCGTTTAATGGCTTTAATATATTAACTGCGATAAAATTGTTTTCATTTTTTTATTTTGTAACATAAATAAGTAAATTATTACTGTAATTTCGGAATCCGTTAATACCAATTTAATTTTGTCAAAAGTGGGACACATGAAAAGCATAATATGATACACAAACGAATTTTAAAACCGTCAAAAATAACAAGTGTAATAATAATAATGACAATAATAGTAAATATGTATATATGTATTATGCGTATTATATTATATTATATATCTTCTTGGAGAACAGTGTTCCCAATACGTTGTTATCATTATTATTATTACTATTAATAAAATGTATTATTATATTATTATTATTATTGTGGAAACATTGGTGACGACTGTTAGCATTCGCGATATAATATATATAATAAATACATCTATATACACATAATATAAATAAATATTTATAATAATAGGTAGGTATATAAAATAGTCGAGCAATTCTCTATTATTAGGCAGATACACGCGTGTAACATCTTTACGGTTTTTTGCGATCATTTGTTATTTTATTATATTATTTATTATTATTACATCTATATGTACCTATACATATTATACATAGGTACAATAAATTATTTTCGCATGTCGGTTGAACGACAAATTTGCCTGAAAATTATCGTGAAATATCACAAATAAGCGCATAATAACGATATTGTACAATTCGAGGATCCATGTGTTTATCCTATTGTGTTTTACCTTCATTATAATAATATTATATCGCTTCAGAAAGAGACCGAGAGAGAGAAAAAAGCGATTACTGCGTTCACATACACACGCATAGAAAATCTATTGGACAAATATTTTTACGTAGGTACGTCTATTATGGCGTGCACATTTGTTACCCACGGGGGCCATATTACGATAAATACCAAATCGAATGGCGCGAACGATGTCTTTTCCCCTACAATTGTCTACCCATACCTCTCCAACCGGACATCGGACGTTTTCAATAGAACAGAGAAATACTTGCACGGTCTCTTATGGAGCGAGAAAAAATCACTCGTCGTATCCGTTTCGAATATATATGGAAAATCGATAATTGTGGTGGTTACGACGATCGTTGTCCTGCGTGCGAGTGTGTACGGTTGCCATTTCTTCGTGTAATGGGCGAATCCGCGTTTGACGTACCGTACATAAATCTCCGCGTCAATTGGTCACTGCCGACTAGGGAAAAAAAAACACCGCTCTCGGCTTTATAAACGCAATATAATATAATATCGTAGATAAAAATGTGTATAGGACATATTATTATTGTATATATCTATTTACGATTAATATGACATTCGATCGCCGCCGCTTGCGGCATCGTATTATTATTTTTGTTTTATTTTCGTGTGCGTGTGAGAATCGCAGGTTTTCAGCATTCGCGTCGAGAAGAAAAAAAGTGACCGAAAAAAAATATTTGGACGACTATAATAGGTGACGAATATAAAACACGACGAGTCGTATTACAATAATTATGTTTATAAAATTATATATATTTTGTCTCGTTGGTATAATATGTATGTATATATATAAATATATAAATATATAAAAATATAAATGAAATAAAATAACATTATAACCAATGAAATATCGTACAACAATGTCACACAATATAATATAATAATATATTGTGCATTGTAATACACCGCCGAACAGTTTTCGTTCAGCTCAAACATATCGAATTATATTATTATATTATATAGTCGCGTAATGACACATGCACACTCGCACGCACATGACAGTAAATAAGTACAGGTAGCGGGTACCGTCTCGGAGCAATGATTTGTATATCGTAGGTATATATTATACCGGTTACGCGGTTTTTATAGTGTAGCCGCCGTTGTATTCTTGTATATACGTTTAATATAAATTATTATAATAATATATGCCGTGCAACTCTTCTCCGTCGCGTAATATAACAGCCTCGTAGTCCGCGTTCAAATCCCGAACGAGACGTTCGCTCCGGCTGTTGCAGGGTCGATCGCATGGCCATGCAACTAGCCCAATTTACTAATGTGATATGCTAGCTACAAACATCAATTTAAAGATGTACAACGTATATTAGTTAAAAGTCAAAACGCGTGTGTCATAAAAAACTAAGTAAACAATTCAATTTATTCGCGTAGTATCTATACTTACGATAATGCGTATAAAAGTGTAATTATATAAGAAATATAATTTTTGTGTATTATTTTTAACGCGTGTGATATTTTATGTACCTATACTTAATCGTTGACGATTGGAATTTCGTAAAGTTTTCATTTTGGAACTAAAAATAGGTAAAACGATAACTTTATCGTGTTTTATTTTAATATGAAAAACATATACAAAAGTGTTATTGTTATAACTTATAAGATATGGCGGGTGTAGCGCATCATACTCGTATAATATATAAATATACTATACTGAGTGATCCACCAATTTTCTCACCTCTTTGCTTGATGAATTACTTTGTATAAGACAAAAATAAGTGATAAAATGTAAAATTATTGAATATAAATAACAATTATAGGTAAACGCTGTTTTTTTTTTTTTTTGAATATAATAAATATTAATTAGCATATGTTTGTAAGTAAAAAAAAAAATCGTGAAACAAACTATTTATACTTATATTTGATCAGTTAATGATGGCGATTAATAAATCTGTAATTTAGTATTACTCTTGAGTCTCGATAGTGTAGTAGTAAACATTGGCACATTAGCAAGCCCTATTGTTGAGCCAATGTCTTATAATTACTATCATTTTTTAGTCTTTTTTTCTTTTCATGCTAAACTAGAACTTGATGTGCTAGATAGTATGTTGTGATATCATAAAATGTCGTATGCATTTGTATCAGTTATTAATAACTAATTAGTATAAAATAGATAGATGATTAAATACTATGTTTAAAATAGTTTTTTTTATTTTGAAATCCTATAATTTTTTTTTTATAAACATAACTATCATACAAGTTGTTTTCAATACAACTATGATGTTTTGACTTTTGATTACCTATAAATTATATTATAATATTAAATATTTAAGAATTATTATTAAATTAATGAATATACCTAAATCATACATTACTCTAAAACGTAGAAATATTTTCTATTTTAATCTTGAACAGTATATTTTTAATATTTACAATTCTTAAAAAATCGTTTTAGTATAGCTGTGGCTTTTTATAAAACTGTATTTTTAAATTAAATATTAAATTAATTTTATTTAGTACAAGTCATCAGCAATAAATACTTCTTAGGATTGTACTAATAAGATAATTGAACCAAGGGAACTTACATAAAATTCAGTAACTAAGTATTCCAGTAGCCTGTAGTAGCTGGCTGTAAATGTACCTATTTGAAATTGTAACAACATTTCAAAGTAATCAATTAATGATTTGCTTAAAGGTGGATTTACGTTTTTTTTTTTTTTTTTTTAATTGAACGGTAGAGTTAAAATATTAGCTGTAATATAGAAAATTGTGAGCACATGGTACAGAACGTAATAAAAAAAAAATTAGTTCATAATATATTTGAAATTGTATACTTCAAGGTAAAAACCGTAAACGCTTACAAAAAAGTTCGGTTGATTCCCGATTAAAAAAAAAAAAATGTCTATAAACATAATGTACCTATATTATATAGAGGCCATTGTAAATTATTATTATTATACAATACCACCCAATCGGGGATGTACACCGCTCCGACGACGGAGGTGCATAATATATCGAATGTCATTTATAATTACGTGTACACGCGATCAAAACCGTATGCAAACATCATACCTATATGGCTATATATATATAAGTCTGTGTGCGTGCCTATAAGCATAATATTATATTGTGTGTGCGCGTATAAAAGGGTTAGGTACTTCCGTCCAGACCAATGTTTCCTATTTTTATTTTTATTTTTTAGTCCAATAGTCTAAATTAATTTTGTGTCACATGTTCGCATATAGTACATGGATGATAATATCAATAAATAATATAGTATAACATATTAATCATCTTGCTATAAGTATGCCGCATGATTTTTTTTTTATCGAAAAATACTTATTATTTTAAAACATAGTAATGATTTTTGAAAATTTATTTTTATATAATTTTAAGTTGTCACAAAATTAAAATATTTTTGAAACAAAAAATTATATTTTTATAATTTTTGTCATTATTATTGTTTAAGTTGTTTTTATTTGTTTACTATGACAACATATATTTTTAATTCTTGCTTATTTCAAAGCAGAATATAGTCAAGAGTTAAGGATGAATATTTTATTAGATAAGTATTTTAAGTTTAGATGAGCAGAATAGAGTTGTATATGAAAATGTCACAAAATATTAGACCATTCAAACTTAAAATACTTATAAGTTGTAACTATTATTGACTAATTACTACTCACGCGATATTTGATTTTAACACCTACATTAAAATGTTCTAAATAATAGTAATAATACTGCTTTGGAATATGAAATTAATAATTCAAAATAAGTTTAAAAAAATAACTATTTAGTAAAAATTGTAAGATATAATATAACTGGCCGGGCATAATAAATATAATTATAATTTCCATACGACGTATAGCCGCAGAGCTATCAAAAATCCACATACAGTTTAAAAGTTTAAACCATCAATGATGTGTAATAATAAAATATTTCTTCGTCTTGTTTGTTTCGCCCGGTACAGCCATCACGACTGCAGTAGCCAGCAGACCGCCGCCGTCCACGTCGCCGTCACCGTCGCCGTCGCCGGCCACGCTGCGCGAGCTGTACGCCATGGCGACCAGTCAACAGCACCAGCAGCATTCGCGGCTGCTCGAGCTGTCCAACAGATATCGCGGGTACCCGGAAATCGCCCATCACGTGTTCAACCAACAGGGAGCAGTCACCAAGTTGCTAGGTAAGTCCGCTCGAATATCATCGTCGTTACTGCACATATCGCACACTGCAAGTACTACGTATACCTTATTGGGCTATGATACGTGCGCGTCGATAAAAAAAAATAATAATATATATATATATATTATATATAACCGATATCGGTGCGCGTTCGCGTATATACCGTGATAAACGTTAATCGTTATTAATGTTGTATAATAATACGCAGTGTACGTATATCATTATGATAATAAATATTGTGTTTGTGTTTTTTGTGTCGTTTAGTGTTCATGCACAGTTATATTTATAGTGTTGAACGCGGCGTTCGTCTTCCCCTGCAGTCATCCCCTTTGCACCCACGCGCGACAGGACGACAAATGTCCATCGAAAGCGCGCGCATGTCACAACCCATATATAATATTATTAAGATACGATATGAGTACCCCATGGTTGCCGCGATCACGGACACGACTAAGAATAATTATTAAATATGATATACGCGTAATAGGCCACCATTAGAAAATTCGACGTTTATGATGGGTATAGGTATTTTGTTATGTCGTGTTTGACGGTTTTTTTCTCTCTTTTACAGTCTATTCGCGATTATTTTTTTTTTTTTTTATTCTATATACCCTTTACCTTTTTACATATTATTCACTCTTTAAATTCACTATTGAATAATAATAATAATATGTATTTTAGGTGACATTATTATTATAACACGCGTAAGGTACATAATTGCTGTTTTTATGTGTATTATCATTTATTCACTGCAAGTTTGATTCGCGCTACGGCGAGTATTAGTTTTGTGCTAGTTTCTCTAAAAATGTATACGATGTCTTGTCCTTTCGTGTGTATCGTTTAAAAATCACTATAATATCGTTATAATAATATGATATTGTAATACAGGTAATGTGCACATATCGTGATCTAAGTAAAAAATATGTAATATTAATATAATATTTTGATACGATTTACGAAATTAATATAACTATTATCTATTAGGGTGGTATTGGAGCGAATATTAAAGTTATAACGAATTTATAAATCATTGGTTTCTTCTTGATTTTGGCCTTTTGTTATGGTCACTATACGATGTTTAAGCCTACCTTAAGTTTTATGGGCCATATGGCCACGAAAAAATACTATATTTCCTCTTTATATCAAAAGTGAAGGGATCTAGATATCTATGTTATAAGTAAATAGTCAACAGATATATATTATATGATCAACCATCTGGCCAAAAACAATGCCACCTTGATTGCGCCAGATAGGTACTCTACAACTATTTATCCGTCAATACAAAATGTCATACTGAGTAATTTATTCTTAACGAACTTATCTTCTATAAATAGTTTTTTATAAATACGACATTATAGAATTACTTACTACAATGATGTAACATGACATTAACTGTAAATGAAGATTGTTTAAACTATGAAGTTACTTTTATAACTATTTCTAAAAAAATTGGATATATACTGTTTAATTTATTTTATGTTTAAAGTTTAGCTTGAGTATATTATTCACTCTGAAATATCATAAAATATTCAATGTTAAAGATTTTAATTATTAAACTTAATAAAGTTTAAATATTACATCGGTTTTCATAAAAAATAATTTAAGATCAAGAACCAAAATTGACAAAAATAGTGTTTCAATGACATATTTTAAATTCTTTTTATAATAAAATAATATTGATTTTTTTTTTTTGAAACTTCTAACGTTAATAATTAAATAAAGATTGGTTTACCTATGTAACGATGTAGTTGGTCGTAGCATTAAATTATGTAACAAAATTATATTTTAGAACGACCATTACATTCATATGAGCAACATTAAATCTATTGTTTATAGCCATACCTATTAATTGTTTTTTTTTTTTAGACCTGGGTAGACCGACATAAAAGTGATGTAATAAAATCACGATACATTTATATATATTATATACAAGGGAAATGTGCGTAACATAAAATGTATCTGTAGGTACTCTATAATGTATAAACGCTGTTTTCAACACGGTTGAATCCGAAGTCTATATAGTGTATAATAAAATTATTACATGGCCATTAGACATAATTTTTATAAAAAAAAAAAAAAAACCAAGAAATGCCGTTTTATTTCATATTTCGATTCAGTATAAAATATGTTCATTTATTTTGATATTCTAAGAAGTATGTATATGATACGTAGAAGGCAACTAGTTATGAGTGTTATGACTTATGGTGTGTGATTGAATTCTGTATAGGCGTACCGAAAATATGTTAATAATCGCATACGTACACACTACGCATAGTGATTCAATTATTATTCGCCGAGTATTTGTAATACGATAGGTATTGCGTCGGGATGCTTCATTGCCGGTCGACTACTTTGTTACGCTGTTGGGCGCACACGTCCGTGAACGGTACAGCCTCTGCAGGTACAAAAGAAGCGAATAACAGAACGTGAGAAGTCTAACATGAGATTTAATTATTTTACGAAATTGAATTATTTCTGTTTGACTCGTACACGCAGCAACGATTTTTTCCACGGGGAACGCAGACTTGCTGCAGTTAACCAAAATTAAATTGTTAAAAAAAAAAAAAGAAAAAAAGAAAGTAGTCAAAGTAATAGTATAATATTATAATCAATACTTTTTAAACCCATAACCACAACTACCGGTCTCATTTTGTACATTTCACTCGATCATGCCCATTTACTTTTTTGTAAGTCTTCAGTGGGCTTTGACAATCATTCGTGAATGGATACGATTTGTTCGTTTAATAAATATACATGATAATGATACTCTACAATGTAAAATTTTCATGAGGGGACATAAAAAGCTTGTTAAAACAAACATCAGTAATTACAATATTGCACTGTTTATTCATTGAATATTTGAAAGTGAATATCAAACATACCTATCAAATTATTTTAATTTTTAAAAGTAGATTAACATAAAATTTAGTGAAAAAATTTGGAAAGAAAATTAAATAATTATAATCTAATTCTAGAATTGAAATAATTAAAATGTATACATTAATTATCAACACGTAGATATTTGTACAACTCGTGAAATATACAATCACAAAAATTTTAATGTCACCAACTAATTTTGAAAAGAAGTTATTTTATATCCAAAATCAATATAATAAATTGTTTGTGTTTAGATAACACTGGCATATTTTTTTTTTTTTATGAAATAACTAAAAAATTAAAAAACAGTATTGCTATATTGTTATATGCGACTATACGAGTTCATAAAAAATGGTTAGTTATCCACTGAGATATATAAATTTTACATAAAAGCTATTTAGTATAATAATGTACGATTTTATTGCAATTTTTTCGAAAAAATGCTTATTAATTTTCGTTATGACATTTAATATTCCGTATTAAATTATTATACAGAATTAACCGATACACAATTTAAATTTTAATGTACCTACGAGTATATAGTAAACTGAATAATATATTTATATATTTTATGATTTTATTTTGTTTGTCAAATATTCATCTTCTTCAATTATACATTTACCTAAACATAAATAATTAAATAAATTGGACATGATGTTGTGGTTAAAATTGATTATAGTAATTTGCGAGGGTAAGAAAAAAAATAGTAATAATAATCAACAAAAAACCTGTTGGCTTGCGGCTGTCATGCAGTGTTCATGTATGTGAGTGCGTAGGTGCGAAAGCTAAATTGTCGCCAAATAATATATATATAAATACGAACGTATATACTTAGTATAATGGTAAACTCATGTTTAGTAGCGTCTCGTGAGTGTGTATGTGTGTTAATTAGCCATTGACACGAATTAGGTTAAACACGCGTCTTTAGATTTCGCCTGACTCGACAAAGACCGGCTGCGTTTGGCAACAGGCACGACAAACGACGAGGGGAAAAAACAATACCAGAAGTCATTCGGAAGAGATTATTTTGTACAGGAAGTGCAGGTGGACGAAGCCGTTGATTTTTTTTTTTTTTGCCTTTCTAAATTCCGAACAACCTTCTAAGGAAGAGTAGGAAAAATACTCGATAGATTTATATATATATATGATATATCCATCGCGAATAAACTAATAAAAATAATAATACATTGTATTTTGTTACTTTTTTCTTCTACATTCAGAATAATTAGCTAGTAGTGTGCATATTTAAACTCTATACGTACTTACGTACATAGTATTTATGTGCAACGCATTGTTTTTTGATCTTTTTTTTTTGTTGTTGTACCGGGCGTACTTCTGTAACTACCCGTGCGTTTTTTTTGAACGAAGAACAAATATTTTATTATGTAAATGTCCACTACAAATGCGATGATATGATGATATCCATCTGCCGGAGTTTTTATATTAAACGTTGCGAGCCGGAACAGTAAATAAAAAAAAAAATTTGATCTCTGAAAAAAAAGTACATATCTACGTCGACAGATATTTACGTATAACATACTCACTCAGTTAAAACTGACGAACAAAAAGTCGAGCTCATGAATTATTTTAAGACGGTTGTTATTACGGGGAATTAAAATAATTACTAATTGTTGCCTAATTGTTTCGAAACGGTGTTTTTTTTAATTTTAACTTTTTATATTGTCTACCGGACAACAATAAAATGGTGTTCTTTTTTTTTTAGAACCTTCTATTTCTTCTACTGTTCTATACCGGACGTAATTTTATGAAATATTTTAATCTAATACATCATAATATCTTCTACTTGAATAACATATTAATATTTAGTTAATATAAATTTTTTCTTTCTACATAATACATCATTTATATAGCTCAATGTATAATTTTTACTGTCAAGATCAAATTTAATTCGAAAACATGTGTTTAATTACTCTTTTGTTTATATAATTTCCCTGTATATTTGTCTTATACTTTTCGTCAAATAAAATATCTTTATCAAATTATCAAATTTTTATAAATCATGAAAAAAAATATTAATATATTTTGCTATACATTTAATAACATATATTTTTATGATTTTTTTATTCGTATAATAAAGTAATTTTTATAAATATTTTTATTAGC